TTTTAGTTTAGTAAAATCCCCCATGGCCAAATTCTCCACTGATCAGACCCAAAGTCTAGTAGAGAGATAAGAAATCTCAGTACTATCTTGGCAGCTCTTGAAAGTTGGCAGAGGATGCAAAACTCTCTTGAAAACAAATGGGAGTTTCTAGAAAATGGCCTGACGTGTCAGTGAAGTCCCAATGAGAAATGTCTTGGCCTGGGTGGGAATTGCTCCTGTGATAGGATTGCAGTGGGAACCTGGTGGCACTTGTTTCCCTCAGGGGCCTGTTGTGACACCAAGTAGCTGGGAGAAGCTGACAAGAAACCTTCCCAGTCTGAAAAAGATCCCACTAACTGTAAAGTGAAACGTGCTTTTAAGGTGCTCCGAGTTCCCCAGCTCACATCCAGTTGGGTAAATACAGCAAGCTTTACCACTGATCCACTCTTGGGGAGCTGTTTGGTTTCCCACCAGCTCTGTAAGAAATGCACCATGGCTTTTTGCCAGCACCCAGGACAGATGGGTGGGCCAGACCCCCTAGTGCCCAGCACAGCACTACCAGCACCCACCCACCTATGCCAGAGAGCCCCAGTAGCCTCCTGGCCAACACCAGCTGTCTCCCAGTGAGGCACCTCGCCCCACCTGCTCTTACCTGGTGGTGACCTCCAGCTGGCAAGGCATCTTCTCTAAAAACTTCTATCCTAGACAAGCCAGATGAACCTGCTTCTCAAGGCGCCCGTGTTTTCCCTGGGGATGCACAAGGAGGTGGCTGTTGCTCCCTCCAGCAACCTGCCACAGAGACCTCTGAAGCTGGGACAGGGAAATCCACCCCCACCCCCCCAGCTGCCCCATACACCAAACAAGACATGAGGGACCACTAAAAATGAAAAGGCTGAATGTATTCCTCTGTGGTGGTTTACAGTATTATGACTACTTGGACATTTCATAGTCTATTATTTCTAGCCAGGTCATTTCAACTGTAAGGTTTTCTTGACAGCCCCCGAATCTGTCTTACCAATTGACAAGTGGAGTGAAAACTGTATTAAGGTTTGCGGTCGATGAATACAAGCCTGCTAGGAAACTAGGACTAGGAGCAATGCCATTTGTCTCCCTTCCTTTCCAGGCTGAAATATTTGTGCTTACTCCCAAATTGTAAGCTCTTTGCAAAGGGGTTGTTGTATTTTGTATCTCCACAGCCCCCGGTCGCAGGGGTTCCTGGCTGACTGCTGCAAATGATAGATGACAGGCATCATATTCTGGTGTGATTGTGCATGTTGACATCCCTCACATAGGTCAGGACCTCAATCAGTGCCCATGTGCATAAGTCCTTTAAAGTAAAATTGCAGCAGGACCTCCATTCTCACCCCTTCCATGCAGGGTTCTGCTCAGGGATGGTGGTGGGTTCCAGCCCACCCTGAGGACCCATGGCTGGTGATCACGTACATATGTCAGAGATCAGGCATCACTGAAAGCACTTGGCAAGTGGCAGGGGAGCCCTGGTACCCTTAAGGGAAAGGTTGCACCAGCTTCTGTGGTCACAGACCCAAAGCTAGACTGAGGCAGTACCTCCAGTAAAGTTGTATCAGCATCCTGTCACCACAGTCACAGCCTGGACCTTGGACCCTGGCCAGAGCCCATCACCTCTTCCTTTAGGAGAGGTCTGGAGGTTGACAGAGAAGCACAGCTTAGAAAGAAAACCGTGTCTTTCTTTCCCCTGAAAGGCTCATTAACTGGGAAGGCTGATGAGCGATTCAGTGTATCTTAAAGGGGAAGATGGTTAAGAGTGTCAGTGCAGACACCTCTATTGATCTGCTGCTATTTTCTCTGGGCACAACAAGCTGACACAGGCGGCTCTAAACAGGGAAAGACAATTTTGCAACCATCACTCTCAGTTTTGCCTGTTTGGCAAGGGTATTAATGGTGGGGGGGATGTTGTTTTGAAGACTCTTTGTCCTTCTCGCTCTTTCTGCTTTGTCCTCTCACAAGCTTTTGCAGACATGGCAGCAGCACCTTACGATGTGGTGCTACACTGAGATCAAAATTCA